GGGGATGCACGTACTGCAAGGTTCATTGAAGTCACAGCGCCCCCTTGCGCCTCCTGGCAATACAACTGATTACCGGGCACTGCTAGAACCGGCTCCGTAGCAGGGCGGGACAGCCCATGGCCTCCTATAGGAAAGTTCCCTTCAGCAGGGATCAGGGAGGAGCGTGTTGGAGCTCCTTGCACAGCAGGGCCCCCCAGAGAGGCCGATGTTCCTTGGCCCGAAACTCTCCCAAGCTCCCTCAGAGGGAGGGTAGGAGGAGGCCCCGCCGGTACCGAGAAAGGGATCGGGGCCGGCACAAAAACGAGCTGGCCAGAAGGAGTCATTTGCCAGTAGCCCTGCGGGGTCGCGGGCCTGGGGCTGTGCTGGGCTGGGCGGGACGATGGGGCTCTGGAGCGGCGGGCGTGCCTCCGGCGCCTGGAGCATGAGGAAGAGGACGAGGAGGAGGTCGAGGATGAAGAAGAGCAGGAGGAGGACCTCGAACGCCGACTCGATCTCGTAGAGGCTCTGTGTCCCCGGCGTCGAGAGCTCCTTCGAGAAGGGCATCTGGAGCGCCTCGGCCGCTTGCTAGGCCTACGAGACCCTCTGTCCTCTCTCCGATGGCTCTGGTAGAGAGCTACAGCTGGTGCCGCTCCCTGCATCGGAGGACCGTCAGAGGAGTTCTCAGGACCCTGCGCCTGGAAGGGGCTCGACATCTGAGGCCTCGAAGGGCCCGTCTCCCTTCCTAGGCTGGCGGTACCGAAGGGAGGCGTTGCCGAAGCGGCAGGCGGAGAGGCTCTTCGAGCGGCAACTTCTATCAACTCAGTGGGAGGGGCGTTGACGGTGCTCCCGAACGCGCCGCTAGTGGAAGGCGCTGACTCCAAAGGAGGGGAGGTGGGCGGAGCCACGGAGACTGGTCTCCCCTCCCTGCGCGCAGCCTCCCCGCTAGCTCCGCCCCCGGAGGGAGAGAGTGTTGGCATCAGGGGGGTTAAGAAGTCCTCCGAGATCGGGCCCTCCGGTCCCGAGTGCTGCGCCGTGCGAGGAGTCACACCCCCCACCTCGAGAGATAAGGTAGGAGCCCTGAGAGGGCGGCTCAGTTGACTCGGAGTTTCCACCATTGTGGAGGGAGGGGCTTGAGTCGCGACGGGCAAAGAGGCATTTCCCGCTCTTTTCGGAGCTGCTCTTTTAGACTGTACAGGCCCGCGGCCATTTTGTGCGGTCTTGTCTTTGGGCCTCTTGGCCTTCTTCTTAGACAGCCCCATAGCCTGATCCAGGAGGGGCACAGCAGAGAGTGCTGGGCCGGTTTGCTGCGGCGACGGGGCAGGAGGGAGCAGGGCCCTTTCGTAAAGCGCCGCCTTAAGCCTCAGCTCCCGATTCTTCCTGGTCTGTGGCGTAAACGCCATACAGACCGAGCAGGCTTGGGTAAGATGACCCTCTCCCAGGCATTGCAGGCACAGGGAATGCCCATCAGTGTCCGGATAGGTGTTAGGGCATTTAGAGCAGCGCTTAAAGGAGGTAGTAGCCATCACGCTAAGGGCACGTGAGGGAAGGCAGCTGAAGGAATGGTCAGGCAGTCCGGGTCAATCGCCGGCAGAACAGAGTCCAAGTCAGAAACCAGTACCTTAGCCACAAAACAGTCCAGTCCAAAACGTTCAGAATCAGTCCAGTCAAATCGAAGAAGCTCGCAAAGAGAAAGAGAGGTTCTCAAGCTACTGCGATAACGCGGAAAAGAGAACTGCTGGCTAGCCCCGCCCTCGGGCTACTTATACTCGAGGGGAGGGGGGGCGGGGCTAGTGGGCTCTAAAATTGTTATATTTTTATCTAGAAGGTTCCGAAAGCTGTACTGCGCATGCGCTCAGATACCAAATGTACGATTCACAGTGACTACGACAGGAAATTGTTGAGCTTACTAATTCAGGAACCCATTCATATTGAATGGCTACAATGGCCAGCAGGAGATGGAGGTCAGCAGTTCCCAGTGCTCAGCCCAGCCAGATTTTGTCATTTGGGAGTTGTAGTTATTGGGATTTATAGTTCACCTTCAATCAAAGAGCATTCTAAACTCCACCAATGATGGAATTGAACCAAACTTGGCATACAGAACTCCCATGACCAACGGAAAATAACGGGTGGGGATTGACCTTGAGTTTTGGAATTGTAGTTCACCTCCATCCAGAGAGCACTGTGGACTCAAAACAGTGATGGATCTGGACCAAACTTGGCATGAATACTCAATACTCAATATGCCCAAATGTGAACACTGGTCAATAGACCTTGACATACCTTTGAAGACAGCTTCAGCTAAGGATAGTGTTTCTCCTCCGAATGAATGCCTGGAGGAGGTAATGGGCTGGATGAGGAAAAACAAATTGAAACTGGATACAGACACAGTTTTCCCTTGCTGTTTGCTTTCCGTGGACTTGCTGTTTCGCGGTTAGGGTTGAGAATTAATATTTTTCATATATTTTTATACATTTTGTGGTTTTAAAAGCATCAATAGAGAGACCAATGTGCTCGTTTATCAAGCCATTGTCCTCCCAACCCTGCTCTATGCCTGTGAAACGTGGACTGTTTACTAGGCTTGGGCGGTTTCATTCGTTAATTTCATAATTCGTTATTAATTCGTATTTAAATTAGCTTACGATCCAATATTGAGCCATGCAGGAATAGTGTGAGGAGTAAATTAGATTCGAAACAATTTTTTCAATTTATTTCGTAATTATTTTGTAATTATTTTGTAATTATTTTCGCATGTCTGGTGCAAGTTTTATAGTTGTTGTTTGTTTTATCACACCAACAGTCAACAACAGAGGGAGAGGGAAGCTTCAGAAGTTCCCCCTGTCCCATTTGGAGGTTTTTTTAGCATATTGCGCAATCGCGTCCGCCATTAACGAATCGATTCGTAATTTTACGAAATTTCGTATATTTCAAAATTTTTAAAAGGAAAATTTCGGAATTATTAAAAAAAACGAAACGCAAGGGCCCCCTAAAAACAAAACGAGTTTAGAACCAAATTTTTCTGTGGTTACCCAAGCCTACTGTCTACAGATGTCACACTCAGCTCCTGGAATGATTCCATCAGCATTGCCTCTGAAAAACCTCTTGGGAAGAAGACAGGTGGACAAATGTCAGCATGCTGGAAGAAACAAAGACCACCAGCATTGAAGCAATGGTCTTCCACCATCAAGTCTGCGGGACTGGCCTCGGTCTGAATGCCCGATCACCGTTTCCCAAAGCAGTTACTCTACTCCGAACTCAAGAGCAGAAAATGGAATGTTGGTGGACAGGAAAAGAGATATAAAGATGGGCTTAAAGCTAACCTCAAAAACTGTGGCATAGACACTAAGAACAGGGAAGCCCTGGCCTTGGAGCCCTCTATCTGGAGGTCAGCTGTGACCAGCAGTGCTGCAGAATGCCAAGAGGCAAGAATGGAGGACGAAAGGGAGAAACATGCCAAGAGGAAGGCATAACCCTGAGTCCCTCCCTAGGGGATTGAGAAGGGTGGGGTATAAGCGCTCGAAATATCAAGTCAATCCTGACCGGGACCGCCTTCCATCTGGAAGCCGATGTCCTCACTGTGGGAGAACATGCAGATCAAGAATAGGGCTCCACAGCCACCTACGGACCCACTAGCAAGACACCACACCTGGAAGACAATCATCCTCGAGCTACGAGTGATTGCCTAAGTAAAGTATCTGCAGGATTGTCTTCTCCGTACAATCTGCCCCTAACACTGAGGTGTTCTGGTGGGGCATCTGCTCCAGCCTGCCAGAACCCAAATGGCCAACATCACCCAGAGGACCTTTTCCTCAGCCTCCTCTACATTGTGGAATGACCTGCCAGAAGTAGGGTTGGGTAGACATGATCGGAAATGATTGAAATTCAGAAGTGCAGGAAAGGTGGGGGCAGGGCAGAATTCCAAATTTGAACCACTTACCCATTTTTTTTCAGGATTATTCTGTAATGTTTGGATGTCTCCCTAGGTTATTTTAATGTTCACAACCCTTAAACGGCCATATAGCCTGAAAAACCTACAACAACCCTATACACACTCTACTTGCTTTATTTCCAACAGACGCCACTAGCCACAGATGCAGGCGAAACGTCAGCAGAGAATGCTGCTGGAACATGGCCATACAGCCCCAAAAACTCACAGCAACCCAAAGCCCAGATTACCTGCTTTGATATTCAGCAGTGTGATCAAGCCAAGACACCCCTCCCCTTTCTCTCTTTTCTCCTCCCTGTAAATAAATGGGAAGAGGAGGAAATGCAGGGAAGCCCACCAGTTCCAGGGAGCAACTCTGCAAAAGGGTGCAAGTCTATGGAGAAGGCCTGGGTTGGGACTCACCAAAAAACCCATAAAGTAAAGCAAGGGAACTTGCATGGTGTCTGATGTGGTGCTTGTTTGAGTGGTCCACCATTTCGGTGTTTTCAAATAATATCCTGCGTCCCAGGTTGGTTCATTGGGTGCTCTGCTATGGCTGACTTCTCTGGCTGAAGTAGTCTGCAATGCCTTTCATGTTCCTTGATTTGTGTCCGGGCAATGCTGTGTTTGGTGGTCCCTATGTAGACTTGTAGACTGTGTCAGACTACACAGAGAAGCCATTGAAATCCACAAGCATGTGGACAATTTCAACAGGAAACCATGAAAATGAACAAAATCTGGCTACCAGTATTAAAAACAAGCCTATACTCTGTTTGGGCTTGCGACTGACCAATTATGTACATACAATATATTATATTATTATAATATAATAAGTTATATGTACACACAAGATATTATATTATTAGCATAGCACAATAATATGTGCTATGCTATAATAATAATAATATGGGCTGTGGCGCAGCTAGCTATTTTTGCTATTCTTATTGGTGTTAGATACCATTTCCAAATTAACTTATAATAATTTTCTTTAACCCATATTGATACATTTTTCAGATGTCTTTGTCCCCATAATTGTGACCACTCCATTTCATTTGTGGCCCAGTCTGATTAAATGGAAAAGAAAGAAAAGAGAAAGAGCTAGTTTCTAATATATGTAATTTCATAATGCTTGTGGGTATACACAATTTTTGTGGTTCCATTGTCTGTGAAATAATAATGGTGTAAAAAATTATAATAAAAAGCCCTTCAGCAGTGGAAATCTCTGCCCCGGAGTGTGGTGGAGGCTCCTTCTTTGGAAGCTTCTAAACAGAGGCTGGATGGCCATCTGTCAAGGGTGATTTGAATGTAATATTCCTGCTTCTTGGCAGGGGGTTGGACTGGATGGCCCATGAAGTCTCTTCCAACTCTTTGATTCTATGATGATGATAATAATAACAACAACAGCAACAACAATAATGGCCTATATAATCTATATACCGGGCTGTGGCGCAGCTAATTAGTAGCCGGCTGCATTAAATCACTACTGACCAAGAAGTCATGAGTTCGAAGTCAGCGGGGGTCAGAGTGAGCTTCCAGCCATTAGTCTAGCTTGCTGTTGACCTTTGCAACCCAAAAGACAGTTGAATCTATCAAGTAGGAAATTTAGGTACCGCTTATGCAGGGAGGCTAATTTAACGAATTTATGACACCAAAGAACCCCCTTCCAGCAGTATGCAGAAGAACGAGGAAGTACTCCATCAAAGGACTCGTGTTACAAATGGACGGTGAAGCAGCTGCTCCCCCTGTGGCCGGAATTGAGCCGAAATCAAGCATACCCTCATGAAGCCAGAAAGCTGGAATGTTAAATTGCCTCTGTGTCTGTCTACATATGTTGTATGTTTAACTGGCATTGAATGTTTGCCATGTATATGTGCATTGCAATCCACCCTGAGTCCCCTGCGGGGTGAAAAGGGTGGAATATAAATACTGTAAATAAATAGATAAATAAATATTAGTATTATATATTACTATATTGTACTATACCACTACACTGGAAAATTCTTAGCAATATTACATGTAATATAAAATATATAATTGTTCTATTGTATTATTAGTTTATTGTATTACATTATAATGTTATCAATTATAGTTATGAGTATTGCATCCATTACATTTATTTTCATTACTTAACATATTAAAAGGTCATTAAAACCTCTACTGGGGAAAAAGGAAGGAAAAAGGAAGAGGGGCCGACCAAGGGCAAGATGGATGGATGGTATCCTTGAAGTGACTGGCTTGACCTTGAAGGAGCTGGGGGTGGTGACGGCCAACAGGAAGCTCTGGCGTGGGCTGGTCCAGGAGGTCACAAAGAGTCGGAATCAACTGAACTAATGAACAACAACAAAAAGCTTCTAGAGCAAAAAGAGAAGTAATATTATCAGTTTTAAATCTGATAGTTGTGACTTCTTGTATCTTCTTATATTATCTTATATTGAGTCTCTGATGAGTCACAAGGTGTGCATTCTCAGGAAAACATTTTCCATTCTACTCGCATTTGTATGGTTCCTCTCTTGTGTGAAGTGTCTTGTGGCTCACAAGGGATGAACTGTGAGCAAAACATTTCCCACAATCATTGCAGTTGTATGGTTTCTCTCCTGTGTGGACCCTCTGGTGGGTCACAAGGTATGCATTCCGAGCGAAACATTTCCCACACTCCTGGCATTGGTATGCTTTTTCTCCTGTATGGGATAACTGGTGCCTTACTAGTTGTTGATGGTGAACAAAAGATTCCTCGCATTCCTGGCATTTATACACTTTCTCTCCTGTGTGGATTCTCTTGTGGCCCACAAGGTCTACATTCCGAGTAAAACTTTTCCCACACTCCTGACATGTGTAAGGTTTCTCTCCTGCGTGAAGTCTCTTGTGGCTCACAAGGGATGAACTGTGAGCAAAACATTTCCCACATTCATCGCAGCTGTATGGTTTCTCTCCTGTGTGGTGTCTCTGGTGCCTCAGAAGGCATGATGTCTGAGCAAAACATCTCCCACAGTCTTGGCATTTGTAGGGTTTCTCTCCTGTGTGGACTCTCTGATGGGCCACAAGGTATGCATTCAGAGCAAAACATTTCCCACACTCCTCGCATTGGTATGCTTTATCTCCTGTATGGGACAACTGGTGTCTTATTAGTTGTTGTTGGTGAACAAAACACTCTTCACATTCTTGGCACTTATACAGTTTCTCCCCTGTGTGGATTCTTTGGTGTCTCACAAGGTTTGCATTCTGGGCGAAACATTTGCCACACTCTTGGCATTTGTAGAGCTTCTCTCCTGCGTGAAGTCTCTTGTGGTCCATAAGGGATGAACGGTTTGGAAAACAGCTTCCGCATTCCCGACATGTGTATGTTTTTTCCTCCGTGTGGAGTCTCTGATGCCTCAAAAGATTTGTCATCTGAGAAAAACACTTCCCACACTCCTGGCATTTATATGGTTTCTCCCCAGTGTGGATTCTCTGGTGCTTCACAAGCACTGACATAATACCAAAACATTTCCCACACTCCTGGCACTTGTATGGTTTCTCTCCTCTGTGGGCTCTTTGGTGGACTTCAAGGCTTGATTTGGTGGCAAAACATTTTCCACATGCACTGCAGATGTATGTTTTGACTTCTGAATGAAGCAACTGGTGTCTTACTAGTTGTTGACGGTGGAGAAAACATTCCCCACATTCCAGGCATTTATACAGTTTATCTCCTGTGTGGATTGTTTGGTGTCTCACAAGGTTTGCATTCCGGGCAAAACATTTCCCACACTCCGGGCATTTGTATGGTTTCTCTCCTGCGTGAAGTCTCTTGTGGTCCACAAGGGATGAGCGGTTTGCAAAACAGGTTCCGCATTCCTGACATGTGTATGTTTTTCCTTCCATATGGAGTCTTTGGTGTCTCAAAAGACTTCTCATCTGAGAAAAACACTTCACACAGTTTTGGCATTTGTATGGTTTCTGTGCAGTGTGGATTCTCTGGTGCCTCGTTCGCTGATCACTCCGAGCAAAACATTTCCCACACTCCTGGCATTTGTAGGGTCTCTCTCCCGTGTGGAATACCTGGTGCCTTACTAGTTGTTGATGATGAAAGAAACCTTTCCCACATTCTGGGCATTGAAAGGGTTTCTCTCCCATGTGGACTCTCTGGTGAATCACAAGGTATTCATTCTGAGCAAAAGATTTTCCACATTCGTTGCAGATGTATGCTTTGACTTCTGAATGGAGTAACTGGTGTCTTACTAGTTGCTGACGGTGAACAAAACATTCTTCACATTCCTGGCATTTATAAAGTTTCTCTCCTGTGTGGATTCTTCGGTGTCTCGCAAGGTTAGTATTCCGGGAAAAACATTTCCCACACTCTTGGCATCTGTAAGGTTTCCCTCTTCTGTGAATTCTGCGGTGTCTCACAAGGTTTGCATTCCGGGGAAAACATTTCCCACACTCCTGGCATTCGTACGGCCTCTCTCCAGTGTGGAACAACTGGTGCATTACTAGTTGTTGATGGTGAAAAAAACATTTCTCACATTCCGGGCATTGAAAGGGTTTCTCTCCTGTGTGGACTCTCTGATGCCTCACAAAGTTGGAACTGGAAGCAAAAGATTTCCCACACTCCAGGCATTGGTATGGCTTCTCTCCTGTGTGGAGTCTTTTGTGCCTCAGTAAGTCTGAACTGGAAGCAAAACATTTCCCACACTCCAGGCATTTGTATGGCTTCTCTCCAGTATGGAATCTCTGATGAACCAGTAATACTGACCTGCTAGAAAAGAATTTCCCACATTTCTGGCATTTGTGTGTTTTCTTTCCTTTTTGGAATGTGTGATTGCTGAGATGGTGCAAATTATAATCAAAACTGTTTTCTCTACACTGAATGTGTTTTTTCCCACCACACAGTCTCTTATGGAAAATAGCTGCTATATTTTGGGCGAAACCTTTCCCACATATGTTGCATTTGAAAGCACATTTGGAAAACACATCTCTCTTCCTCCAGTTATCTGTTGGGAAAGAAACAGGAAAAAAGTAATCTATATAAATAAAAATGTAATGTTCATTTGTGGGATTAACATAACTCAAAAACCACTGGACGAATTGACACCAAATTTGGCCACAAGACACCTACTAACCCAAGGAGTGACCATCACTCAAAAAAGTTGATTTTGTCATTTAGTAGTTAGTTGTTGGGATTTATAGGTAACGTACAATCAAAGATCATTCTGAACTCCACCAATGATGGTTGGAACAGAGTTCTGGAAATCCCATGAAAATGGGACCTATTTATACACCTGAACACCGAAGCCTGAAAGAAAGCAACTGCCTGGTTGGGCTGCAGCTTTCAGGGCCGGGCTTTAGCACAGCGAGTTAAATCGGCAGCTGCAGAAAATCTTGTCGATTGAAAGGTTGGCAATTCAAACCTGAGTCAGCCCCAGCTTCTGCTCACCTAGCAGATCGAAAACAGCAATGTGAGTAGATAAATAGGTACTGCTTTAAGCGGGGAGGTAATAAAAGGTGTCTATAAGGATGTGCTGGTGATTCGATAGGGATGATGTCTATGGAGTACAAAACTCCGTGGTATGGAAGATGGAGCGACAGCTCCTCCCAGTGACCGGAGTTGACCACAGCCTCCAGATACTGAAGATGGAAAAGGATGGGAAAGCCCACACCTCTATTTATTTGACAATCAGGAATGTGTCCAGAGGAATCAATAGCCCTACAGGTTCTTATCGTGCCATACCATTGGCAAAACTCAAGGGAATATATATTTATTTATTTATTTACGACATTTATATGCCGCCCTTCTCACCCCAAAGGGGACTCAGAGCGGCTTACAAGATATATATCCATACAATATATTATATTATTAGCACAGTACAATATCAGTATTATATATTACTATATTGTACGATACCATTATATTGTAATATTATTAGGAATATTACATGTAATATAAAATATTTAATTATAATATCATATTATTAGTAGTAGTATTATATTTTATTAATTATACTATTATAAATATTATATGTATATACAATATATTATATTACATTAAATTATATTATTACCATAGCACAGGAGACAAGATGGAACTGTCCCCTGCCGCCCCCCCGCCCCCTCTTCACTCTGTGCAGGCATCCAAGAGTTCTCAGAAAGAGGGGCTAAGTTCCCGATTAACAGTCTTCAGGAGTCCTCAGTGCCTGGTATGATCTGACATATTGATGCCAAACAGATATAGTAACAGTGATCATCAGTGAGGGAGCCTTACCAAGAGAGGCCATGATCCCACGCGTCTCCTCCATGATCTGTGAGTGCAGGGCTCTCTGATCAGGGTCCAGAAGAGCCCACTCCTCCATGGAGAAATGGATGGCCACGTCCTGAAGGGTCACTGGACCCTGGAGGAAAAAGAAAACAAAAGAAAACATGTCCTGCTTGCATAAAAGACTTCAAGAAATGAAATGCAACAGGCCTTTAGACAGAAGTATTTGGTCTCACTGACGTATGGTGAAGTCTACACCCAGAAGATAAAGCTTCTGGGTATATACTACCGGTTCATCATAATGGTTTCAGATCAGATTATATTTTAATTGATTCTTTTACACTATGAGACCACTGGGCTGTTAGTTTGGATCGATATTTCCGTCTTCTTCCTTAATCTTCTGGTCTTTGGTGGAATTAATGGCCCAAACATAATCAGAATTGACAGAATTATTTAAAGATTGGGTTGCTGCGAGCTTTCCGTGCTCTCTGTCCATGTTCAAGAAGCATTCTCTCCTGATGTTTCATCTGTGTCTATGGCAGGCATTCTCAGATGTTGTGAGGTCTGTTGAAAACTAGGAAAATAGGGTTTATGTATCTGTGGAATGTCTAGGGTGGGAGAAAGAACTCTTGCCTGTTGGAGGCAAGTGTGAATGTTGCAATGGGCCACCTTGATTAGCATTTAATAGTCTTGTAGCTTCAAAGCCTGGCTGCTTCCTGCCTGGGGGAATCCTTTGTTTATTCTTTGTTGTCCTTTAAAGATTGATGAGGGTGTAGTGAGCTCATTTGCCATCTAATGGGAGGTCTGTAAAGATTGTGCACAAGGTGAAATAAATGATTACTTTGTATTGTCGAAGGCTTTCATGGCTTAAATCACTAGGTTCTTGTGGGTTTTTTCGGGCTATAGAGCCATGTTCTAGAGGCATTTCTCCTGACGTTTCGCCTGCATCTATGGCAAGCATCCTCAGAGGTATGAGGTCTGTTGGAATAAGGACAATGGGTTTATATATCTGTGGAATGGCTGGGGTGGGGCAAGGAGCTCTTCCCTGCTGAGCTAGGTGTGAATGTTTCAACTGATCACCTTCATTAGCATTTGAAGGCCTGCCTGAGCCTGGGAAAATCTCTTGCTGGGAGGTGTTAATATGTGCCTGGTTGTTTCCTCTCTGTTGTGCTTGTTAAAATTACAACAGCAAAACAACAGAGAGGAAACAACCAGGCACAGATTAACACCTCCCAGCAAGAGATTTTCCCAGGCTCAGGGAGGCCTTCAAATGCTAATGAAGGTGATCAGCTGAAACATTCACACCTAGCTGCAGCAGGGAAGAGCTCCTTGCCCCACCCCAGCCATTCCACAGATATATAAACCCATTGTCCTAATTCCAACAGACCTCACTACCTCTGAGGATGCTTGCCATAGATGCAGGCGAAACGTCAAGAGAAATGCCTCTAGAACATGGCTCTATAGCCCGAAAAAACCCACAAGAACCTAATGATTACTTTCCTTACAGCAGTGGTTCTCAATCTGTTGGTCCCCAGGTGTTTTGGCCTACAACTCCCAGAAATCCCAGCCAGTTTACCAGCTGTTAGGATTTCTGGGAGTTGAAGGCCAAAACATCTGGGGACCCACAGGTTGAGAACCACTGCCCTACAGGAAATAATTTTTGAGGATGTCCCAATCCACCTCCTTCCTTCACTCCCTTCTTCTTACCTCAATTGTTTCTGCTTCATTGCAAAGAGGAAGAGAGGAATGAAGACTTGTCTGTGGCACCATTCCAGGCCCTGTCGAAAAGACCAAAGTGGGAGGGAAACTGATCATACAGGCTTGTTTCAGGGGCTCAATTACAGCCCTAAAAAGAAACTCTAGAGAAATATACTGTTTTGAATAATAATAATAATAATAATAATAATAATAATAATAATCTTTATTTATACCCCGCCTCCATCTCCCCAAAGAGGACTTGAGGCGGCTCACATGAGGCCAAGCCCGAAAATACAATACAACAAAATAAAATACAAAGCAACATAAAATTACATCACAATAAAATACATAGAGTAACGCAATAAAATAAGCAGCGCAAAATAACATATTGAAAATAGTAGCACTTTTGCATTTAGTAAAATCTATAGGGCATGACTCAACCAAGGCTGGAAAATCCACGAACCTGAAGACCACCATGAAGCTACCATGAGATGCAGAGCCAACCCTAAGAAATGGGGCTACAAAATGGAGTCCCCAACATGCGAGTGTGGAGAAGAGCAAACTATGACCACCAACTACAATGCAGCCTGAATCCTACCACATGCACAATGGAGGACCTTCTTATAGCAACACCAGAGGCTCTCCAAGTGGACAGATACTGGTCAAAGGACATTTAGTTTAACGCCAAGTTCTTAAACTTTGTTTGTGTTTTTAAATACATTACAACTGTGCCCTCAATTTGCTTCTGACATGATAAATAAATGTCAAAATGATCATGAATATATTGCACGTAAAAAGGTAAAGGTTTCCCCGACATTAGTCCAGTTGTGTCTGACTCTGGGGGTTCATTCTCATCTCCATTTCTAAGCCGAAGAGCCAATGTTGTCCATAGACACCTCCAAGGTCATGTGGCCAGCATGACTGGATGGAGTGCTGTTACCTTCCCACTGGAGCAATACCTATTGATCTACTCCCATTTGCATGTTTCCAAACTGCTAGGTTGGCAGAAGCAGGAGTTAATAGCACGAGCGCACGGCACTCCCAGGATTTGAACCTGAGACCTTTTGGTCAGCAAGTTCAGAAGCTCAGCATTTTAACCCACTGTGCCACCAGGGGCCCCTTTGGGTTGAATGTACTGCACCAGACAAAAAAGGTTGTACTCCTTCCAGAAAGGGAACTTATGGATGTGCAAAACACAAGGGTGATTATGCCAAAGAGGGTTTGTTCTTATCCAAGGAACACAGATATCTAGAACAAATAGCAAAACGAAAGTTGTCAACCGTTATAAACAACCGTGCTGTGCTGTTCTTAACTATGTATTGTCGAAGGCTTTTAACTATGTTTGCAGGTATAATCTGTTATTTTAAGTTCGGGAATTTGATTCCTGCTCTCCTCACATTATTATTAATGATAATATAATAATAATATAATAATTTTTTCAGCGATTGGTTTTTGAAGCACCAAAATACTGTTTGCTTCCACTTGAAAATTACCTAGGGCCGGCCCTGGGTACAAGCCCCAATGATACTCTGTTTACTCCCTCCGGAGTTTACTCATTTAGTCAGAGTTTTAACTTCACTCTTACGTATAATATAATAAGTGACTGTTAGATATAAAAAGGATATAAATGATGTTTTTGAAACAACAAACTAAATGAAATGAAATGTCCTTAAGAAAATAACATCCACAAGGTACAAGTCCCAATGATATGATTCTTCCTCGTTGCGGAGTTTGCTCGTGCAGACAGAGTTTTTATCTTCACTCTTCCATGTAATCTTTTAAACAGCTGGTAAATATTGGGGGGAAAATTGCAGAATCTCTGACGCAAGAAACTAAACACTTGAACTGTCCTTGGGAAAGTAAAATAACGTCGACAAGGGTCCCCAGATTGAAATACCTCATTTCGGGAGACTTTCCCTTCTTCAGGACTCTACGGTATCTTCACATAAGCATGTTAGTCTCAATAAGTTCCTAAATAAGTGATCTCATGAGTCTAACATAATAGACTCGTGAGATCAGGTAATTTTCCAGTGTTAGCAAACAGTATTTTGGTGCCCCCCACAAACCAATCATATGGAAAGAGAAAGAAGGAAAGGCGCCCCTGCTGTGTGTGTGCAGGGGCACCTTTCCTTCTTTCTCTTTCCTTCCTTAATTTTCTTTCCTCTCTCTCTTTCCTTCCTTTTTTCTTTCTTTCCCCTCTCTTTCTTTCCTTCTTTAGTTCCTTCTCTCTTTCCTTTCTTCCTTCTCTTCTTCCCTCTCTTTCCTTCCTTCTTTTTTCTTCCTTCTTTCTCTCCTTCTTCCATTTTTCCTTCCTTCTCTCTCTCTCTCTCTCTTCTTCTCTCCATTCTTCTCTCGCTCTCTCCTTCCTTCCTTGTTTCCTTTTACACCTCTTTTCTTCTTTCTTTTCTCTCTTCCTCCCTCCCTGCTTGACAGAAAGGGGCTGAACTGGATGACATTTGAGGGACCCCTTTCCAACTCTTCTAGGCTCCTCTTTGTCCAGGTGGCGGCAAAGGGAGTATCTTCTTTTGCCTCTTATTATAATTAGTATTATTGAGGGGCCCTTCCTCCTCCTCTTTTTCCCTCCCTCCCAAGGCAGGTCTGCTTTATTTCAGGTCCGTCACAGGGTGTCTGCACGTTGCAGTTGTGGCGGGGTGAGAAGGAGCCTCAGCCTGGAAGAAGGGAAGGAAGGAAGAAAGGAAGAGAAAGAGGAGCCACCCCTTCAAGCAGTGCAGAGGTGCAGCTTTCCCCCTCTTCGCTTTGCTTTTCTTTCCTCCCATTTGCCGCATCCTGCAGTCCAGGATGAGCCTGGGTCAACGTGGCAAGGCGGTGGAGGATGATGGGCTCTGCACTGGGGGCCTCCTCCTGCCTCCTTCTTCCTCCTGGCTTCCGAGCCACATGCAGGTGGGGGCCTTGGGGGCGTGGGGCCTGCAGGGCAAAGGGGACATCCCAGCCAGGGATGCCTTTGCTTTGCTCCAGCTGGAATGTCAGAAGGCCCATACCGGGGGCACCTCAAGAACGCCCCTTGGGGATTCGCGCTACATGCTAATGCATATCTTGCCTATTGCTTCAGTTGCCCCTGCATGAGATTAAAATGCAATACCAGCTCCCCGAAGGATTTGGAATTAGAAATATGTACCTTTAAGGGACAATTCAAAGATAGAGGATATCCCTCTAAAATTTTGGATACAGCTATTTGAAAACTCTGACTGAACGAGTAAACTCCAGAGGGAGTAAACAGAGTATCATTGAGGCTTGTACTTTATGTGTCATTCTTCAGTTATTTGTTTTCAGCAAACATAGTTAAGAACAGCACAACAGAGTTTGTTCTTACCCAGGAAGGCAGCACTTTCATCTCCCTCTTGCTTTATCTCCTTCCACTCGGGAATCTGAGTGCAGATTGACACTGAGTCCTCTGATGCACGGAGAACAGACTGAACTTCCACACAGAGATCTTTTGACTGACAAAGCAGGGAGAAAATGGAGAAGAAGAAAATTACACATCCATACACAAACATCTGAAAAAGAATTCAAACAATCATATAATAATAACTAATAATAATAATAATAATAATAATTTTTAGGCTAGAATAGGGAAGGATTAAGACAGAAGTTAGAAGAGGGGCAGAAACTGGACAAAAAGTGTTTGTGTCCACACACACACACACAGTCTCTTGTTAGAAAGGCAGGATATACACTCAATCAATCCACTTATTGATCTCTACTTTAGAGACACCAAGAGGCAATGCTCTCACCTGTCCTTCCTGCTTCTCGTCCTCTGCCCGACTCAGGAGGAAGCCTTCCGCCAGGGCCACCGCCTGGGAAGAGGTCTCTGCCCCACACTCTCGGACCCAGCTCCCCATCTCTGGGGGCAGGATGCTCAGGAACTGCTCCAGGATCACCAGGTCCAGCATCTCCGCCTTGGTGTGTTGCTCTGGCTTCAGCCACTGGCGGCAGAGAGAGTGGAGGCGGCTGCAAACCTCTCTGGGTCCCTCGCCCTCTCGGAAGGAGGAATGCCTGAAGCGCTGGCGCTCTATGTGCGCATTCAGGAACGCCTGCGTAGTTGTTTCCCAGAATTCCCCACTGCTCTCAGCACAAATGCTGTCACATTCTCCTTCTGCTTCCAGCCAAGCGGTCTCCAGCTTGAACATTTTGGAAACACTGTCCAATGAAGCAGCCAACGGGACTCAAGGAAAACTTCTGTTCTGTTCTATCCCACAGTCATGAACAGGCTCTGCTCCAAAACCCTGTAAAGTCAAGGTATTATTGTGTTGGTTACATCCAGATTGGACTATTGCAATGCGCTCTACATGGGGCTGCCCTTGAAGACTGCCCGGAAGCTCCAATTAGTACAACGGGCAGCAGCCAGGCTCCTTACTGGAGCAAACTATAGGGAGCATACAATGCCCCTATTGAAACAGCTTCATTGGCTGCCGATAAGTTGCCAAGCCAAATTCAAGGTGCTGGTAAAATATATAAATAAAAATGTAATGTTCGTTTGTGATACCATCAGAACTCAAAAACTACTGGGGGAATTGACACCAAATTTGGACACAAGACACCTAACAACCCAATGTATGTCCTCCACTCAAAAAAAATTGATTTTGTTGTTTGGGAGTTGTAGTTGCTGGGATTTATAGTTCACCTACAATCAAAGAGCATTCTGAACTCCACCAATGATGGAATTGAACCAAACTTGGCACACAGACTCCCATGACCAACAGAAAATACTGGAAGGGTTTGGTGGACATTGACCTTGAGTTTGGGAATTATAGTTCACCCACATCCAGAGAGCACTGTGGACTCAAACAATGATGGATCTGGACCAAACTTGGCACGAATATTCCATATGCCCAAATATGAACACAGATGGAGTTTAAGTGAAATAGACCTTGACATTTGGGAGTTGTCGTTACTGGGATTTATAGTTCACCTACAATCAAAGAGCATTCTGAACTCCACCAATGATGGAATTGAACCAAACGTGGCATACAGGACTCCCATGACCAAGAAAACACTAGAAGGGTTTGGTGGGCATTGAGCTTGAGTTTGGGAGTTGTAGTTCACCTACATCCAGAGAGCACTGTGGACTCAAACAATGATGGATCTGGACCAAACTCGGCACAAATACTCAATATGCCAAAATGAACACAGATGGAGTTTGGAGGGAATAGACCTTGACATTTGGGATTTGTAGTTACTGGGATTTATAGTTCACTACAATTAAAGAGCATTCTGAAACCCACAAACGACAGAAATGGGGCAAACTTCCCACACAGAACCCCCATGACCAACAGAAAATACTTAAGGCCATCCAGTCCAACCCTCTTCACCAGCGCAAGAAAATGTAATCAGAGCCCTCCTGACAAAGAGCCATGCAGTCATAAATATAGATAGATAGCTATGATTCTCTCTCACACACACAGATATAATATCACAGATTTGAGACCCTTAAAGAAGGACTATGATATGTTGCCTGTTCCAGAGTAGGCAAACCAGACACTCTCCACATCAACACTGACAAAGAAACAACAAGAAATACTGTTTACTCACAAGCATAAAGTAATTACATATATTAGAAACCAACACTTTCTCATTACTTTATTTTCCTGATCACCAGACTGGGCCACAGCAACACATGGCAGGGGACAGCTAGTCTATATAAATAAAAATGTAATGTTCATTTGTGATACCATCAGAATTCAAAAACCACTGGGGGAGTTGTGATGAGTGTTCTGCATACCTTGTGGTTTGAGGTATGCGTACGCCAAGTTTGGCGATTTTTCGTCTGGGGCTTTTCGCGTTTTGCGGTCCCTAACGACGCCCTTTTGGATTTTATATATATAGAAAATGTAATGTTCGTTTGTGATACCATCAGAACTCAAAAACCACTGGGGGAATTGACACCAAATTTGGACACAAGACACCATTCAAGGCAATCTATGTCCTGCACATAAAAAAATTCCTCCCAAAAAACAATAAGACCTTTAAATTTTGACAAATAAAGAGAACACTGCGCCTGCGCGTGCAAACCCATTCTCTTCCCCCCGTCACGTGGGCACAGCCAGCACGAGAGGCACCGACGGCCATCCTCCCTCACTACTAGGCTTGGGCGGTTTCGTTCGTTAATTTCGTAATTCGTTATTAATTCGTATTTAAATTAGCTTACGATCCGATACTGAGCCATGCAGGAATAGTGTGAGGAGTAATTAAGAATCGAAACAATTTTTCCAATTTTCGTAATTATTTCGTAATTATTTTCGTAATGTAATATAATAATATATAATATATAATACAATATATTATAATAATATAATATACAATAATATAATATAATAATATATAATATAATATAATATAATAATATATAATATAATATATATAATATAATATATTATAATAATATAATATACAATAATATAATATAATGATATTATAATAATATAATATAATAATATATAATAATATAATATAATATAGTTGTTGTTTGTTTTATCACACCAACAGTCAACAACAGAGGGAGAGGGAAGCTTCAGAAGTTCCCCCTGTCCCATTTGGAGGTTTTTTTTAGCATATTGCGCTATTGCGTCCGCCATTAACGAATCAATTTGAAATTTACGAAATTTCGTAAATTTCGAAATTTTTTAAAGAAAAAATTCTGAATTCTTTAAAAAAACAAAACGCAATGGACCCCCTAAAAACGAAACGAGTTTAGAAACAAATTTTTCCGTTGTTACCCAAGCCTACTCACTACTCATTAGCATATACAAATTCCCACCAGTTCCCCCCATCGCAGACCCTTCTGAGGCCAAGGAAACTAAAGGACGGCATGATAACATGCGGCACCCCATTGCCCAAAAGCGGCCCTCTTCTGCCGTGGTGCACACCGGGAGTTGGAGTCCTTTCAAACCCACAAGGCATTACTCTTGTTGGGATGCCTCCTCTCATGGCAAGGCCGCGGCGGCACAAGAACAACATTCTTTTTTCTGTCAGGCTGCGAATGCCTTTTGCGCCTTTCCCACACTCAAGCTGGCGGCCACGGGAGGCCTCCTCCTGCTATAAGCCACTGAGGGGAATGAGACGCTTGACATGGTGACATTAATCCGCCATCTTGGGTGTGACCATATGCCTCAGCAGGTAAGGTTGCACACCCAAGATGGCGGCAACGGGAGGCCTCCTCATGCTACGGCCCACTGAGGGGAACGAGACTCTCGACCTGGTGGCGCGAATCCGCCATCTTGGGTGTGGTGCTTAGTCCAAAGTTCAGTCAGGAAAGGGCCTTTTTCTCCTCAACTGGAACTCTTCATAATAATAATAATAATAATAATAATAATAATAATAATAATAATAATAATCTTAACATCAAGGGAAAATCTTTACCTTTACTTAGTATAAAATGAAATATTTTATGTCTAACAATACATAATAATTCAATAAACATGTAGAATATAATATTCAATATAATAATCTATATAAATAAAAATAATAAAAATAAATTGTAAATAATAAATAATTACAATAATGTAGGAGACCTCCTGGGCCATCCAGTCCAACCCCATTCTGCCAAGAAGCAGGAATGTTTCATTTAAATCACCCCTGACAGTTGGCCATCCAGCCTCTCTTTAAAAGCTTCCAAAGAAGGAGCCTCCACCACACTCCGGCAGAGAGTTCCACTGCTGGACGGCTCTCACAGTCAGGAAGTTCTTCCTCATGTTCAGATGGAATCTCCTTTCTTGTAGTTTGAAGCCATTGTTCCGCGTCCTAGTCTCCAGGGAAGCAGAAAACAAGCTTGCTCCCTCCTCCCTGTGGCTTCCTCTCACATATTTATACATGGCTATCGTATTTCCTCTCAGCCTTCTCTTCTTCAGGCTAAATATGCCCAGCTCCTTAAGCCGCTCCTCATAGGGCTTGTTCTCCAGACCCTTGATCATTTTAGTCCCCCTCCTCTGGACACATTCCAGCTTGTCAATATCTCTCTTGAATTGTGGTGCCCAGAATTGGACACAATATTCCAGGTGTGGTCTAACCAAAGCAGAATAGAGGGGTAGCATTACTTCCCTAGATCTAGACACTATGCTCCTATTGATGCAGGCCAAAATCCCATTGGCTTTTTTTTGCCGCCACATGACATTGTTGGCTCATGTTTAACTTGTTGTCCACGAGGACTCCAAGATCTTTTTCACACGTACTGCTCTCGAGCCAGGCATTGTCCCCCATTCTGTATCTTTGCATTTCGTTTTTCCTGCCTAAGTGGAGTATCTTGCATTTGTAAATAATTACAATAATGTAGTATACGATAATCTATATAAATCAAAATCTAATGTTCATTTGTGGGATTAACATAACTCAAAAACCATTGGACAAATTGACACCAAATTTGGACATTATATCCCTCACAGACCAATGAGTGACCATCACTCATAACCCCCCCCCCCCATAAACCAGTGCAAAGTACTTAAAACCCCAAAAATCTAAATGACGAAAAGCTAAATGACGATACAGAAAAAGGGAAGGGAGGGGAGAAAGAGAGAAAGAAAGAAAGAGCGAAGGAAGGAAGGAGAGAAAGAAGTTAAGAAAAAGGGGGAAAGAAGGAAAGAGGTAGAGAAGGAAGGTGAGAAGGAAAAGGAAGGAAAGAAAGGAAGGAAGGAAAGAAGGAGAGAAAGAGGGATGGAAAGTTGGCCACAGCAACGCGTGGCGGGTCCAGCTAGTGACCTATAAAGCCCTAAATGGTTCCGGCTCCGCCTAACTTCGCGATTGCATCTCCCTCTATGAACCAGCGTGAACTCTAAGATCCTCTGGGGAAGCCCTCCTCTCCCTCCCACCTCCATCACAAGCATGGTTGGTGGGGACAAGAGAGAGGGCCTTCTCGGTGGTGGCCCTCTGCCTCTGGAATGCCCTTCCAAAGGGAAATAAGACAGGCCCCATCCCTTCCCTCTTTTTGTAAGAGTTTGAAGACTAGGTGGTTTCAACAAATCTTTGAGAGTGACCAGTGCAAGCTCAGCCCAGACACTGTCCGGACATGACCTAGCCCCTTATGTATTACCCTGTCATTCTCCTAACAGGCCCCCGGAAACAGCCCATCCCCGCTGTTGTCGTTTACCTATTACAGTACTGTACCCAATTGCCGGTCCCATCTTATTTCAATTTGTATCAGTCTTGACCCAGCCTTTTTAATTGTCCTGACCCATTCCTTTTCCATGCCCTAACAAATAGACATGAAGAGCAGACAGGATTTTTTTCTTTTAATATTGATGTGTTGTTGGGTAATTCCATGCTTATGTTGCTGTTACTGTTATTTTTTGTTCATGTTGTGACTCTGTATGTTTTGATGTTGTTGCTTGGAAACTGCCCTGAGTCCCCCCGGGGAGATAGAGCAGTATATAAATAAAATTATTATTATTATTATTATTATTATTATTATTATTATTATTATTATTATTATTATGTTTGTTCATTTTTTCATTCCCCAGGGTCACTTTCCCTCTCCATCGAATCTAAGAAGCACCGTGTTGTCGAAGGCTTTCATGGCCAGAATCACTGGGTTGTTGTGAGTTTTCCGGGCTATCTAGCATGTTCCAGAAGCATTATCTCCTGACGTTTGCCTGCATCTATGGCAGGCATCTGTGAGGTTGTGAGGTCTGTTGGAAACTAGGAAAATTAGATTTATATATCTGTGGAATAATGTACAGGGTGGGAGAAAGGGGTCTTGTCTGCATGAGGCAAGTGTGAATGTTGCAAATGGCCACCTTGATTACCATTTAATGGCCTTGCAGTTTCAAAGCCTGGCTGGTTGCTACCTAGGGGAATCCTTTGTTGGGAAGTGTTAGCTGGCCCTGATTGATTCATGTCTGGAATTCCTCTGTTTTTGGGTGTTGCTAATTTTTACTGACCTGATTCTAGAGTTGTTTAATGATGGTAGCCAGATTTTGTTCATTTTTATGGTTTCCTCCTGTCTGTTGAAATTGTCCACATGCTTGAATCGATCAGGGCCAACTATCACCTTCCAACAAAGGATTCCCCCAGGCAGCAATCACCCAGGCTTTGAAGCTGCAGTTCTAATCAAGGTGGCCATTTGCAACATTGACAATTGCCTTAAACAGATAAGAGTTCTTTCTCCCACCCTGGACATTATTCCACAGATATATAAACCCTACTTGCCTAGTTTCCAACAGACCTCACAACCTCTGAGCATGTGGGTGAAATGTCAGGAGAGAATGCTTCTGGAACATGGCCACACAGCCTGGAAAACTCACAGCAACCTAAGATATATACTTTTTAAAAGGTGCATAAATGAGAGGAAAGTGCACTTTAGATTCAATAAAATATGGAAGAATTTGGTTCTGCTCTCCGAAAGAGATGGAGGTCTTATTCTGCTTTTTTAAAGGGCCAGCAACGGCATGGGGAGCATAAAGGAAATAAGATATCTGGAATGAAGAAGCATTTCCATCTCAGGAACCACAGGGATTTGACCTGTTGTAGAAACCCACCAGTAGCTTACATGAAGCAAGAATTTGGTTTTATTTGTTTGTTTATTTCCTTTGTTTTCCCTCCTGCCTTTCGCCTGATACAGGGACTCAAAGCAGCTAACCATAAATACCAAACAAGGCAAATTAAATAAATATAAGCGCATTAAAACATAAAAATAAAGAAACAATTGACCCAACCAAAAGGTAAAATGCATTAAAACGCACACCCAATGTTATCCAAGCTACCCAAGTTACTACAAGATTATTCTAGTTGTTATTCAAATAAGGCAAAGGTAGATGTTTCCCTTGACATTAAGTCCAGTCGTGTCTGACTCTGGGGTGTGGTGCTCATCTCCATTTCTAAACCAAAGAGCCGGCGTTGTCCATAGACACCTCCAAGGTCACATGGCCAGCATGACTGCATGAAGTGCCGTTACCTTCCCGCAGATTTCTCACATTTGCACGTTTTCGAACTGCTAGCTTGGCAGAAGCCGGGGCTAGCAGTGGGAGCTCACCCCGCTCCCTGGATTCGAACCACCAACCTTTTGGTCAGCAAGTTCAGCAACTTGGCAGTTTAACCCACTGTGACACCAGGGGCTCCTATATATATATATAGATATAGATATATATGCATTCATTATTTTCCCCCTTGTATGCAGATTTTTGGGGACTCCGGCAACTTTTGGTCAGCAAGTTCAGCAGCTCAGTGGTTTAACCCGCTGCACGACTTTAATTGGGTAACAAGTTCAACTGCACAAAATTTATATAATATGCATTTATTATTTTTCCCCCATGTATGCAGATTTTTGGGGACTTCGGCACCTTTTGGTCAGCAAGCTCAGCTGCTCAGCAGTTTAACCTGCTGCACCACTTTAATTGGGTAACAAGTTCAACTATGAAAAATTTATATAATATGCATTTATTTATTTTTCCTCCATATATGCAGATTTTGGGGGGCATCGGCACCTTTTGGTCAGCAAATTCAGCAGCTCAGCAGTTTAACCCGCTGCACCACTTTAATTGGGTAACAAGTTCAACTATGCAAAATTTATATAATATACATTTATTATTTTTCCCCCGTGTATGCAGATTTTTGGGGACTCCGGCACCTTTTGGTCAGCAAATTCAGCAGTACAGTGGTTTAACCCACTGCACGACTTTAATTGGGTAACAAGTTCAACTACGCAAAATTTATATAATATGCATTTATTATTTTTCCCCCATGTATGCAGATTTTGGAGGACACCAGCAACTTTTGGTCAGCAAGTTCAGCAGCTCAGCAGTTTAACCCGCTGTGCAATTTTAATTGGGTAACAAGTTCAACAATGCAAAATTTATATATATGCATTTATTATTTTTCCCCCATGTATGCAGATTTTTGGGGACTCCGGCACCTTTTTGGTCAGCAAGTTCAGCAGCTCAGTGGTTTAACCTGCTGCGCCACTTTAATTGGGTAACAATTATGCAAAATTTAATCTTTTTCATCAGCACTTGCTCCACTATACTCACCTCCAAGGATTTTACTTTGATTCTTCTGTCTCTCAGTGCATCTGCACTATCAATATAACACAGTTTGACACCACTTCAGCTGCCATGGCTCAGTGCTATGAACTCATGGCGGTAGTCATTTCAAAAACTACCAAAGAGTGTTGATACCTCACCCAAACTACAACTTCCAGGATTCTACAGCATTGAGCCATAGCAGTTAAAGTGATATCAAACTGCATTATATTGACAATGTGTAGAGGCATCCTTAGTCTTCTTGGATTCCTAACATACTGTTTCCTCTTCCCCTCCTCCAAGAATCATTGCAGAAAAGCAAAAACCTCCAGCCTTTCAATCGACCACATTTAATGGCCTAGCAGTTTCAAGGTGTGGCTTCTTACTGCCTGGGGTAATCCTTTGTTGAGAGGTGATGAGCTGTCCCTGGTTGTTTCTTGCCTGGAAGAGGGGGGGGGTGTTCAATGGAGGGTGGAAAGGGGGCTGTCCTAATCAGAGTAGCATCTCCATCAAGGGACTCACCAGAAGGAGAGGAAGGCAGCCCAAGGAGGAGGAGGAGGAGGATGAAGGAGTCTGAAGGAAGAAGAGGCCCCTCTGCCCTGGAGGACTGGACACCTCCCTCCTTCTCACTTCCTTTCCCTCTAGGAATCCCTCTCTCTCTCCCCTTAACCCTTCCTTGCCCCATTCAGCTGCAAAGCTGTTTCTCTGCTTTCCAGCTCAAGCTCTAGATTCCCATTAGAATAGATCTTTCCTCTCCTTCTTTCCTCTCTTTTGGCTGGTTTGGGCAAACTTCGGCCCTCCAGGTGGTTTTGGACTTTCAACTCCCACAATTCCCAACAGACTGTAGCATTGAGCTGAGGCAATTAAAAGAGCATTAACTCAACAGTGTGGATGCACCCATTCTGTATTTTGAACATACAGAATGTTTTGCACCAGGACTGTGGCGCAGCTGGCAGGGAGTCAGCTGCGTTAAATTACTACTGAACGAAAGATCATGAGTTCGAAGTCAGCCCAGGTCGGAGTGAGCTTCTGACCATTGTCTAGCTTGCTGTCGACCTTTGCAGCCCAAAAGACAGTTTGTGACGGCGCGAGTGCCGCCACCTATATGTAGAACTTTAATTTGCAAAGGTTTAAACTGTGTAACATGCCCCAACTTGTCTGTTTTCTCTGTAAATGTATAGTTGGATTGATTGGCTATTTATAGCTGTCAATCTGAAAGGGTCTTTGAGCGGAATTGGCAAATACTAAGTAAGGGGCTTTGAATGAAATTAACAGCAAAAGAGAGATATACCCTTTCTCTGTAGAGCACCATGGAAGAAACAAGATGTGACATTTAGAAGGTACTTCTTAAACAGGATGTTTGTGGTTAACTTCAAATGTTGTTTTTGAAGCGCAGAGGCCACGTGTACAGGAGGGTACTTTCCATCAAAAAAGGTCAAGAGAGGGGGCTGGAAAGAGAGCACTTTTCCATGACAAAATGTTCTTGTTTACTTGAGGGTATATATTTGGTGGTCAAAAGCCAAGACGGCACGGCAGTCACTTGAAAGATAGCATCTGCGTATGCTATTGGCTGTCAGTGCTCCCGCGACGTGGACCTAAAAAGACCCAATCAAGGGTCTCTAACAAATCAATGTTGTTTGCATCAGTTCAATTGTTCCTCAGTTCAATTGTTTGGCCCCACCTCTTCCTAGAAGAGGAAGTTTCCTTCTTAATTCTAACATCAGACAGCTTTATAGACGGACGTGAATAGGATTTGGCTCTACAGCCCTTGTTTAAGCTATCTCTCATCACCAATTCTCAGGTTTTTACCCTTGAGACTCACATTTCATACCCAGATCTTCCTGGATGACGTTGAGGAGTCTCAAGCGCCTTCAAACCAGTCCTTTGGCACCAGAGGAAGACTTTGTGCCTTCAAATATAGGCCATTTGGACTGGGGTGGTGGATTGCTCAGGCATTCACAGCCATTGAGAAAGAGGGAACTTGGAAAGTTTCTCAGCTGCAAAACTTCTTGGACCCAAGACTTCAGAGACTGTAACATATATTTTCTTTATCCCTGTTGAAACATCAAATTTGTGCCTAAGAAAGAGAACTCATTGTGAGCAATAAAGACCATTTTGATTTATCTGTTGTGTCTTAGTCCTTGGGAGTTCCAGTTTCCTAAAGGAGGGCAAGAAGCAATCCCCTGGGGAGAGATGTCACGTCCATGTTTCTTTCAGTAAGATCTATAGACCCCAGGCGCGACGGCACACAGTTGCATCTGTCAAGGAGGAAATTTAGGTACTGCTTATGCAGGGAGGCTAATTTAACCTATTGCCGACACCATAAAATATTCAGCAAGCAAGCAAAAGAATGAGGAAGTACTCCATCAGTGTCTCAAATGGATGTTGAAGCGACAGCTCCCTTGGTGGCCAGGATACCCTCATGAAAGCTGGAAAGTTAAAAAACCTCTGTGTGTCTGTGCATATATGTTGTGTGTCTATGGCAGGGGTCCTCAAACTAAGGCCCGGGGGCCGGATGCGGCCCTCCAATGTCATTTACCCGGCCCTCGCTCAGGGTCAACCTAAGTCTGAAACGACTTGAAAGCATACAACAACAACAATCCTATCTCATCAGCCAAAAGCAGGCCTAAACTTCCCATTGAAATACTAATAAGTTTATATTTGTTTAAATTGTTCTTCATTTTAATTACTGTATTGTTTTACTGTGTTATGGTGTATTGTTTTTATTGTTTACTTCTATTGTTTTAATGTTTGATTTGTTTTAAGTTACGTGTTTGTTATGCTGTTGTGTTATTGAGGCCTTGGCCTGTGTAAGCCGCATCGAGTCCTTCGGGAGATGCTAGCGGAGTAAAATTAAGTTAATAATTGTTTTAAAGTGGTTTTTGCACTACAAATAAGATATGTGCAATGTACATATGAATTCATTCATGTTTTTTTCAAATTATAATCCGGCCCTCCAAAAGTTTGAGGAACTGTGACCTAGCCCTATGTTTAAAAAGTTTGAGGACCCCTGGTCTATGGCATTGAATGTTTACCATGTATCTGTACATTGTAATCCACCCTGAGTTCCTTGAGGGCGAGAAGAGCAAAATATACTGTAAATCTATATAAATAACTAGCTTTACCCACCACGCGTTGCTGTGGCCAGCCTTCTCTCCCTCTTTCTCTGCTTCTTTCACTCCTTCCTTCATTCTTTTCTTCTTTCCTTTCTTCCTTCTCTACCTGTTTACTTCCTTCCTTAGCTTTTTGCTCCCATCCTTCCTTCTCTTTTCTTTCCTTCCCTCCTTTCTGTCCTTCTTCTCTTTTCCTTTCTTTCTTCCTCCCCTTTTTTCTTCCTTCTCTCCTCTTCCTTCTTCCCTCCTTCTTTTTCTTCCTTCCTCTTTTCTCCTTTCTTCCTCTTCTCTTTCCTTCCTTCCTTCCTCTTTTCTCTTCCTTCTTTCTTCTTCTTTCCTTCCCTCCCTTTTCTTTTCTTTGCTTTCTTTCCTCCCTCCCTTTTCTTCTGTCCTTCCTTCCTTCCTTTCCTTCGTTCCTACACCTTCCCTTCCTCTCCTTTCTTCTTCCTTCCTTTCTCCCTTGTTTCCCATGCTCCTACTCTCTCTTTCTTCTTTCTTTCCTACCTTTCTTCCCTCATATACTTTCCCAACTTCTCCTTCCTTCCTTTTTTCATACACCTTCCCTTCCCCTTCCCTCCTTTTGTTTATTTCCTACCTTTCTTCTCTGATATACCTGCCTTCCTTCTTTTCCTTCCTTCCTACACCTTCCCTTCCCCTTCCCACTTTTCTTCTTTGTTTCCTTCTTTTCTTCTTTCCTTCCTTCCTTCCTATTTACACCCCTTCCCCTCATTTCCGTCCTTCCTTCCCTCACCCGCTTCCTTCCCTCCTTCCCGTTCCTCATCATCCCCGATGGCGGCGTCCTTCCTTCCCTGGAGCCAGACGCCGGTGTGCGGGGGGCGGCCTGGGCCGGGCGTGGCGGAGGCCGAAGGGCTGTTCTCGGGAGAGGCGGGTCACGGCCTCTCCCGGGTGGGCCATGAATGCGCAGCGGGGGCCTCCCAGGCAGCCTCCGCTGGTCCAGGCCCGGGAAGGCCACCAGCTGTCCGGGCCCGTGGAAGGTGGACAGCCCCCCGCACCGCACATGCACTAGGCCGGCCCCCAGAGGGCACAGGCGGGTGAGCTCCCACTCCCAGGCCGGGGCTTCAGCGTCAACGCCTAGGCCATGCTCGGTTTGGCATGGGGAGGGGCGGGGCGGTGATGGGAGGGCACGTGGCTTGCGCGGAGGGGGCGTGGTGCGGCCATGTGCGCGTGCCGGGCGACTCGCACCAGGATGCCTCTGCGCATGCTCCGTTTGGTTGTGTAATTGTGAGTTTGTTATGTTTTTTAGAGTTGTGATGAGTGTTCTGCATACCTTGTGGTTTGAGGTATGCGTACGCCAAGTTTGGCGATTTTTCGTCCGGGGCTTTTCGCGTTTTGCGGTCCCTAACGACGCCCTTTTGGATTTTATATATATAGAAAATGTAATGTTCGTTTGTGATACCATCAGAACTCAAAAACCACTGGGGGAATTGACACCAAATTTGGACACAAGACACCATTCAAGGCAATCTATGTCCTGCACTCAAAAAAATTCTTCCCAAAAAACAATAAGACCTTTAAATTTTGACAAATAAAGAGAACACTGCGCCTGCGCGTGCAAACCCATTCTCTTCCCCCCGTCACGTGGGCACAGCCAGCACGAGAGGCACCGACGGCCATCCTCCCTCACTGCTCATTAGCATATGCAAATTCCCCCCCAATTCCCCCCATCCCACACCCTTCTGAGGCCAAGGAAACCAAAGGACGGCATGAGAACATGCGGCACCCCATTGCCCAAAAGCGGCTCTCTTCTGCCGTGGTGCACACCGGGAGTTGGAATCCTTTCAAACCCACACGGTATTACTATTGTTGGGATACGTCCTCTCATGGCAAGGCCGCAGTAGTACAAGAACAACATTCTTTTTCTGTCAGGCCGCGAATGCCTTTTGCGCCTTTCCCACTTCCGGTGGAGGCCTTTCCCAGGCGTCGCTAAGGAGGCGGACGACTATAAGGGCCTCCTCGTGCTTGCTGAGGCATGAGGAAGCCCAGTAAAAGAGAGTGACACACTCAAGCTGGCGGCCACGGGAGACCTCCTCCTGCTATAAGCCACTGAGGGGAATGAGACGCTCGACCTGTTGATGCGAATCCAATAATAATAATAATAATAATAATAATAATAATAATAATAATAGACAATGTCAAGGGAAAATCTTTACCTAGTGTAAAATGAAATATTTTATGTCTAATAATACATAATAATTCAATAATGATGTAGAATATAATATTCAATATAATAATCTATATAAATAAAAATAATAAAAATAAATTGTAAATAATAAATAATTACAATAATGTAGTATACAAACAACAGACTGGTTCAAGATTGGGAAAGGCGTACGGCAAGGCTGCATCCTCTCACCCAACCTTTTTAACTTGTATGCAGAACACATCATGCGATGTGCGGGGCTTGATGAATGCAAAGCTGGGGTGAAAATTGCTGGAAGAAACATTAACCACCTTAGATATGCAGATGATACCACTTTGATGGCCAAAGGAGAGGAGGAGC